CTGATCATTCTGTTCTTTATTGTAGTTTCTACCAGCTTGCCCGGTATTGAAGTTAGGCTCACCGGTCTGTAATTGCCAGGATGGCCCACGGAGCCCTTTTTAAAAATTGGCAATACATTAGCTTCCTTCCACTCATCTGGTACAGAGACTTGTTTCAGAGAAAGGTTACATACCACAGTTTGTAGTTCTGCAATTTCACATTGGAGTTCCTTCAGAACTCCTGGCTGAATACCAGCTGGACCTCGTGACTTAATGTATCTATATGTTCTAAAACTTCTTCTGTTGACACATCGCTGTGGACAGGACTTTCGATTTGTTGGCCACAAAGGAGATCTCTGATGATGTGGGTAACTCCCCCACATCCTCGTCAGGGAAGAACGATGCAAAGAAACAATTTACCTTCTCTGTAATGGCTTTGTCCTGCTTGGGTGTTCCTTTAACATCTTGGTCGTCTAGCGGTAGGGTGACCAGATATCCCGACTTTATAGGGACACTCCTGATTTTTGGGTCTTTTTCTTATATAGGCTCCTATTACCTCTCACCCCGTGTCCTGATTTTTCACACTTGCTGTCTGGTCACCCTATCTAGTGGCCCCACTGCCTGTGTGCCGGGCTTTCTGCTTCTGATGTACTTAAAAAAAAATTGTATGGTTAGCTTTTGCGTCTCAAGTTGCTTCTCAAATTCCTTCTTGGCCTGCCTTGTACTTTTACACGTAACCTGCTGGAGTTCCTATTAGCCTCGCTGGGATTTGATGTCCAAATTTTAAAGGGGGCCTTTTTGCCTCCAGTGGCCTCTGTTACTCAGCTACTCCGCCGTGGTTGCCTGGCATTCGTTTGGTCCTTTTCCTGTTTGTTCTGATTCAGGGGGTGCGCCTCTGTTATGGTGGTTTTAAGGAGCTCTCATGCTGCTTGCAGGCATTTAACCCTCGTGCCAGCTCCACACGGGTCAGGGAATCCACCTGTGTATGGGGGATTCTTGGGGTGCCTCTTCCACCCACTTTAAGGCCCCTGGGTCTGCCGGAGGGGTCCTACCATCACTGAGGACGAAGCCTCCTCCACCCACCCCCCCACTCCATTTGTGGCTCGGGACCAGTGCAGAACAATGGGACTAATTTAAACCTCCCTGGGGCCTTGTTTCTCAGCCAACGGCTCCAGGGCAGAGTAACCTAGTTTCTGTGTGACAAGGAGCTTTCTGTCCCGGCCGAATAGCGAATGCAGGGGTCCCCCCCCTCCTTCCCAGAGTTCAGACAATGCGCTCAACCTCACACGTCCCTGCGATCGGCTCCTCAAAGGGGAAAGCTGGCCCACAGCCGTTCTCATGTCAAAGCCAGCTAGGGCTATATGCCCCTTTCCTGGAACCTCAAAGCTCCATGCCTAACGAGCTGCTACCAGTCGGCTAAGGCAGGTGAGCAAGGTGCCTTGATCCTCAGTCATTTCCTTCTGATCCGTGAAGGGCATTTCCCATTCGGGGCAACAAAATGTAGTGTATAAAAATGAGGTAGTATCCCTTTAAATAGTGTGTGAGCTCCATAGTGGCGCTCACCGTGTTCCGCGCGCTAGAACCCAGCTGGTATGCAAAACTATTTAAAGAGACACGAACCAATTCTGATACACCACATGCAGAAGGGGAACAGCCCGCTTGTTCCTGCTCTGGAAAGATGATCCGAGGTGGAAGCATCGGGCCGTTCCCTGCAGACCCGATGCCGCGGAGAGGCAGTTCATCAGGGAAATGGCTTGGATCTCTAGCACCACGGGGAAATAGACGGGAATGGGCAGCTCCAAACAGTTTTGGTGGGATGGGGGGTGAAGTGGGAGGATCTAAAAGTGCTGCCTAAGGGTGAGAATTCTCCCCCATTTTATTAGGGGAAACTGAGGCACTAAGCATTTTTAATGTGGTCTAGTGCTTGGAGCAGAGGATTGGGAATCCGGACTCCTCACTTTCCTTGTGGTTAGAGCAGGGAGGATGGGCGTAAGGGATCCTGGGTTGTAGCTTTGGCTCTGGGAAGGGAGTGGGGTCTAGTGGTTACAGCAGGGAGCTAGGACTCAAGACTCCAGGATTCTACACCTGCCTCTGGCAGGGGAAAGGCATGAGAATCAGGACTCCTGGGTTCCATCCCCAACTCTGCTACTGACTCACTGTATCGCCATGACCACGTCCCCACCTCCATCCAGGCACGAATGCGGAACACTGGTGAAAAAAGAGTTTGAATGGGCGGAATGAAAGTTCAAGGTGTTGGCTGGGATTGGTTTGATCCTGGGTGTAGCTTGCAACAGTCTCCCAAGACGAGGACTAGGAGCTTGTTCTGCCAAAAGATAAGGAGCGAAATCCTGGCTGCCTGGAAGTCAGCGGGAGTTTTGGAACAGTGCCGGAATCCCACCCGGGGCATGTCCTGACCTGAACGTTCTCAGATCAAACAAGACTTTTTGCACCTTTCCCACCAAAAACCCACCGAGTCTTGTTAAAAGACCCTTACGGGGTTTGAGTAGCCTAATGCTGGCTTCCAGGAGCCTGCTGCCTGCCTCCCTTTCCCCGCCTGTGCATTGCAATGCTAAGACGTGTCTCCCACACACAGCTGTTGAGAAACTTGCTGACTTTGTGGAAAGGGCTCTGAGGCCCTGAAATGACAGAGGCCAGAGAATGGCCAGGGATCATTAGGGGTGTTGGGAAAGTAATGATGCTTTACAGCTTCTAACTGAGCCCTTTTGAGAGGTTGGATGATCCCCATTTTATTCCTGGGGAAACTGAGGCACGGAGCAGTGACATGACTATCCCCTGGCCACACAGCAGCAGACTGGCCAAGCCAGGCAAAGAACCTAGGAGTCCTGCCTTTCATTCCTCTGCCTTAACCACAATGTTATGCTTATTATGCAAGAAAATCCACGTTCTGGGTGTGTTTTGCTAGACCAAGATGGTTCTTCCCATGGGTCTCAAGAGAGAGGGCCTGGTTCTTATTTACACTGGCTACTACTAGTAAAAAAATCTGTGTAGAGAGGAGACCTAAGATCTGAAAACCAAAATATTTCAAGTTGGAAATGTTGTCGCAGTTGTATTTCAGTGGCCTCATATCCTCTATTCTTCTTTATGGGGTGTGCTCCCTGGCCAGACTACATCTCCTATAATGCACCAGGGCCAGGGGCTCCCGCGATAAACCCCTCCCCTCTCCAAGCGGGGGACACTGTGATGCATCATGGGAGATGTAGTCCAACCGGGGAGCCTGGCCTATAAAGGAGAGTGGGAGCATGCGGCAGCTGGACTACGACCCCCATGAGGAGCTACAGCAGCGTTTCCAAATCAGCGTTTTTTAGGATTTAAATATCTGCTGAAAATTGACTCCCTCCCCCCCCTTGTGGGGAAAAAAATTCCCAATTGTTTTCATTCAGCTCTAGCGAAGGAGCCTTAAGGCCCATGAGAATCAGGCCCAGAATTGGTCTCGATCGAGCAGACATGCCAAGGCTGCAGTGGCACGGAGTGCCACGGGCTGGGGGTGGAGGCGTTAGCTGGCCACACCCACTGCTGGGCAGGTGTCCAACCCGTGCTTTGTTTCTACAGGGTGGTTTTCCACCCTTCTGCTCTCCAGCCCTTTCTCCAGTTTCTTCTTCCTGTTTAATTTGCAGCTGATGACAGATCCAGCTGTTGCAGCTGGGCGAATAGACAGGTTCACTCCAAATCACACCCACACACCTGGATGCTCTCCCAGGGCCCTAGGTTGCAACCGAGGCGCTGTAGATATCTGGGGAAGTGCTGCAAAGGAGCTCTGATCAGGGTAACAGCCGGGCACTGCTGGGCAGGGCGAGATCCCGCCGGCCCGAGCAGTGTCTCTGCCTCCTCCGTCCAGACCGAGCACCCGGATCAGTGCAGCTAACTCATTGAAACCCAGTTCTTGGGAAAGAGGCAGTTCCATTTTATGGCTTCTCGCAGCACACCAGCAGTGGCTGAGTGGAAAGGGAGTGAGGTCTGGGAGCCAGGACTCCTGGGTCCTGTTCCCAGCTCTGGGGAGAATGTGATCTAGCGGTTAGAGTGGATGAGGACTCCTGACTTCTGTGCCCTGTTCTGGGGAGGCATGTTTAGCCAAGCAACGGAAAGTTGGGACAGCTGGGTTCTCTTCCAGTCTCTGGGAGAGTCTTGTCTAGTGGTTAGAGTTTGGAGGGCCAGTAGCCTGCCCACCTGGGTTCTAGTCCCAGCTCCTTTTTTGACTCTCTGTGTGACTTTGAGTAGGTCGAGGCGCGGCTCTGTGCCTCAGTTTCCCTATCTGTAAAATGGAGCTAATGATCCCTGCCTCGAGAACTGCTGAGGGTTGTCAGCTAGCAGTGCCTTTTTGGGAAAGGCCAGCAGCAACCCCCCCCTGGTACAGCTCTCCCTGGGTTCAGCACGCTCCTGGTAAAGGCTTTGGGTGGGAGATGAGTTCAACTCCAGATGTGCGTTGACAGACAGCTTGTAAATAACAGTGTACTTGAAAGTGCGTGGCGGAGAATTGGGAGGGGCCTGGGCTTATGCGCTGGCCTGTTAGTGTTAATACAATGGTCGTAATGAACCATAAATACTTACGGGTAGCGCGTCTCTGAGCCTCGCAGTAGTCGGCTCACCCAGGGTGAGGGATTTTGTTACTTTGGGTGGGCGAGTAACATTTCCCATCATCGTGTCTAAGGCCAGGTCTGTCCCCGGGGCTGCTGCCGGCACAGCTCTGTCGGTCAGGGGCATGAAGAGCTGTGCTGGCAGGAGCCGATAGAGGAGATGCAGCTATACCAGCCCAGCTGCGCTTTGTACTGGGATCACTTATTTTGTCCAGGGTGGGGGGTGAGGGGGTGGAATAAGCTAGGCCAGAAAAAAAATCAGGTGCACTGGTACAGCTGCATCCGTTCTAGGTGCATTTTGCCTGTGTAAACCTGGCCTGAGACTGGAGAGATTTGGTTTCTGGCTTGATAAACATTCATTGTGCAGCTGATCAATGCTTCAAGGGGCTGTGTTGGCAGTCGCTGACCCTCAGAAGGCAAGCACCATCATTATCCCGGTCGTACAGATGGGGAAACTGAGGCACGGACTGGCTATCCCTTGCCCCAGTTCACACAGTGGCAAAGGTGAGAAGGGAGTCCAGGAGCTGCTAGTTCCACTCTAACCACTAGACAACATTCCCCTCCCAAAGTCAGGAATAGAACCCAGGGGTTCTGACTCCCAATGCCCCCCCCAGCTCTAACCACTAGACCCCACTCCCCATCCCAGAGTCAGGCATAGAACCCAGGCGTCCTGACTCCCAGTCCCCCCGCTTTAACTTCTAGCCCACATTATCTCCCAGAGCTGGGAATAGAACCCAGGCATCCGGGCCCCCATTCCTGCTCCATCCACTGGGCCACGCCACCTCCTTTAAAAGCTCTTGTTTCCTACCGAAGCAACCACCCAAGGAAGCTGCTTCCTGCCTGGCTGAGGGGAGCAGGGAAGGTCCCTGGAGCTGTCAGGACGTGTTGGGGAGGCTGGACTTTCTGGTTCCCTGACTCACTGTGAGTGACACTGATCTAGCCGTGCCCTTCCCCTCCCCAGCCCAGGCAGCTGCCAGCGTGAGCTAGAGACTTGAAACAGCCTCAGCTCCCCGGCCCTAGTGTTGGACAGGAGCCCGGGAGGGGAAGGAACCGAAGCCACGTCTGGGAGCCGAGTGAACCCAGGAGCCAGCCCCTCCAGCTGGAGCTGGGCTGGTCATTCCAAGCCAGTGGGCCCAGAGGCCACCCCAGGACGTCTCCGATGGGCGCCGAGCACTGGGCAGCGAGTCCATCCCCCCGGCGCTGGGGAGATCTACCAGGGGCTTAGCTGCCAATGGATGGTGCTGGCCGAAGGTCTGCACTAATTCTGCCCATGCCCTCTGACCTCAGCCCCAGGAGAGGTAATTTCGCTGGAGAATGAGCAGCTAGGTCCCGCTCTGCAGGGATCCGAGGCAGAGCTCGGGGGGCGCTGGACCGGGAGCGGCTCTGCGTTGGGTGCTGAGAGCGGAATCTCTTCTACGGTAGCGGCAGGCAAGGGGATCCGGGAGCGGGGATAGAGAGGGGACTTGAAGGGGCTTCCACTCTCTGCTAGAAACGCGGGGCAGGAGGGCACTTTCATAGCTGGTACTCGAAGGGAGGGTTTGTTTGTTTTCTTTCTTCTTTTTAAAAATCCCTCCTCCCCACAGTGCACCCCCGCAGCGTCAGGCACTGGGTCCTGTCCCTCGCTAGCACGTGGTCTGTGTGTACAGCTTGGGGTCTGGGCGTCGCCTTCCTGGTCTACGGGCCAGTCCTTGCTGGCATAAGCGCCCTGCAGTTACCCCAGGGCTGCACTTGTCCCCCCCACTCCCCTGGTTTATTAGCTGCCGTTTATGCAGATGAGAGAACAAGGTTCAAAGTTGCAAGGCGGGGTGAGGCTGCCACTCGGTGGAGTAACAAACAGCTCAGGTGGGGGAATACCTCTTTTGCCCAGCGCCGGGACAGTAGGGCCTAGCCGGGGCACTGGGGGTGGGCACCGAGGTATGTTCCTACCCTGCATTTCAGGAGTTGGGGAGGTTCTAGGGTGGGCAGGGGCCGGAGTGGCTGTGAGCACGGCCAGGGTCAGCGCAGGGTGGGATCATTTCCCGCCCCACGCCTCGTCCCCGGGGGAGCCGCACGAGCGCAGCGCCCCACATTTCACAACCTCCTATTTCCCCACCGTTTCCAGCAACAGGCGCAACGTCTCGGCTTAGCGGCTGTGGGTGCTGCAATCTGGCTAGGGGGAGGAGGAGGAGGAGGAGGAGGAGGAGGGAAGGGTTGTGTGTGGAGCCAGCGTTGGGGCCCGGATCGGCCTGTCACTCAGCTGTCGGTGGCTTTCGAGCTCCACTCTCTGGAGGACGTGGGGAATTTGCCACCTCCTGGGAGTCCCTGATGCAAATGCCTGCCTCTGTTTTTAAGGCCCGGCTTGGCAAAGCCCTGGCTGGGATGATTTAGTTGGGGATTGGTCCTGCTTTGAGCAGGGGGTTGGACTAGATGACCTCCTGAGGTCCCTTCCAACCCTGATCTTCTATGATCCAGCCCCCAACAGCGCCCGGCAGTTCTGCTAGGTGTTTCTGAAATGCTGGGGCTGCCGGGCTCACACGAGGGAGGGGCCACAAGGCCTGATCTGAAGCCCCCCCCAGGGTTGTCAGTGGAAAAGCTCCCACTGGCTTCAGCCAGCTTTGGATTGGGGCTTGGATCTGGCCCAAAATATCATCAAGGCCAGTAACACACATTCCCCAACCCTTTGGGGAGGGCGAGTGGGATCCGGGCAGCTTGGCCATATGGTCTCCATAAAGGGTTCCCCGCCCCCGAAAAGAGCGTCAGCGACCAGGGGGAGGAGAGGGATCAGGTTTCGGGAGCGAGGGGAGGGATGGCAGAGAGGGGCTCGGGATGTGATGAGGACAGGAACGCTTTGTAAGCATCTGCTGGGGGGGGGGGGGGTCCTGCCCCGGGCACCACTACAGGGAGAATTAGTCTGGGTGCAAAGACACCACCCATCAGCACCAACCTGAGCTAAAAGAGTTGCCCCATCAACTGGCAGCAGCAGTAGGCTCTTATCTTGCATGTGGACTGGAGGGGACATGCGTGACACGCCCACCCAGCATAAGGGGCGTGGCTGGAGTGCTGTGAACTCTTCCTTGATTCCTAGGGCCCATAGAGGACAGAGCATAAGTTAGAGCAGCCTTGAGGCTGCTCCAATTGATACAGGGGGAGCCTGCACAATCCCAGAACATGAGGGGTGCAAAGGCTTAAAGGCACCTCCCGCATCCATCTTGTCCCAGCAGCAGGAGCCGAACCGCCGAGAATCAAGCTCCGCGAGGCTTCTCCTCGGCAGCTCCTGCCGCCTGGGTCAGCCTCCCTGTATCACTGTGGCCCCATCCCAGCCCTGTTCTCAGCTGGAGAGGCTCCTTTCCTCCCTGACGCTGCGGCTGCCTGCGGGGCTCCCGTGCTGGCACGAAGGGGCAGAAAGCCCTGTCCCCGGTGAAACATGACTGCGCACGGCCCTCTCCCCAGCCTAGCGCTTCCGCTGCAGGTCGGAGGCTGGGGCTGGTTCTCTTTCATGTGGTTACCTCGCTCGCTTCAACCATCTCTTCCCCTCCCTCCCCACTCTGCTTTCTTGACAGCTCAAGAGCTGGGGCCGGGTCCTTGCAGATTTCACCGAAGGCCTCACCCTTTGCCGATAACCAGCCATGCCCGACCGGGCGCTCTGCTTCCTGTGCAGTTTGGTGATGCCTGCCGCCTTCCTGTGCGCAGATCTGCTTCCCAGGGTCACCTTCCCAAGAGGTGAGCAAAGGGGGGGGAGAAAGAAGGATGGATGGATGAGAAAGCAAGAAAAGAGGGGTGGCGGGACGGAAGGAAGAAAGGAAAAGAAGAGTGCAAAGACAGACAGATGGGCCTGGACAGACAGAAGGCAGAGAGACTAAATAAAACGGAGAAAGCCAAGCGAGAGAGACCGTTGGAAGGAGGAAATGAAAAAGGGGTTAAAGGAAGAGAAAGAGAGAGCTGCGCCCCTCCGAATCGCCCGCTGTCAGCCTCCCGGGCCCGGGGAGGGGCATGGGGCGCCGGTAGAGGGAGAGGCTCCTTGCCTGTAGCCGGGACTGGGGGGGGTGAGAAATGGCGGGGAGCGAGGGGGTGCGTCTCCCGTCTCCC